TGGAGTGGTTCGGGAAAAACAAAACTGCTTTCCAGAGAGATCATCTGTGCTCCTGCTTTCAGTCAAAATCAAAAGGGTTTGGGCTGATTTACAGCTTTTTAAGGCAAAACCCAAATAAATGCCATCAAAGGACATGTCAAGGGTGGAGAAAGATCAGAAGGTCACCTCAAGATCAAGGTGGAGAAAGATCAGAGGCCTGCTATAAGCCAAGAAAATATGTCAAAAGGAAATATTTTCATTTCTGGTTGTGTTTCTTTCTGTCCAGAGTGCCCCAGTGTTTCAGCCATGACTGATTGGGTGAACTGGGAATGAATTGGGGTGATTTGGGGCGAGCACATCCTCCTTATGGAGAGGGATATGGATTAGATGGAGCAGCCCCAGCTCTCTGATCCCCAGCTCCTCTCCACCCTGGCCATCATTCAGCTCTATACCCCGAACTGCCTTCGTGCATCCCTCTCCCCATCTGAAAGCACTCATCATTTGGGGTCAGAATGCCACCGACACTGGCACAGCCAGGGATCAATTGGGGGTCAGGAGTCGTCCCTGCACTGCTGAAGGATTTTCCAGCAGCCGTTCACCCCCTATTTATTGACCCAGCAATGTTTGCAGCGCTGAATGTAGTGAAGTCGCAGTGTTCTGCAGGTCCCTGGGGTGGGGATTTTACGGGAATGCTGATTCCCCATTGCGCAGCCTCTGTGTTAAAATGGTTTTGAACCCACATAGAGCCAGAAATCGAGTGAGGTCCTGCCGGGCTAAATGGATTTCACCGCTGAAACAGAAAGGAATGGGCTCCCAGGAACAAGTGATATTATTTACATGGCATCGATCGGTGCTGAGCTTTTGCTGGCTCAGCACTTTTAACCCCTGGTTTTCATCAGCTGAGTGCTTAACCCTCAGCTAATTGGATTTGCAGCTGTTATTGTGATCTATGCTGCCTCCAATTACTCTCCATGGGGCACCCATAGGATGGGGAGCCCAAATGGGGCAGAAAGCCCTCATAAGGGCAGAAAGAGCAAAGTATCACAGCACATGAGGGCAAGAGTGTTGGGGTGAACTGGGGCACAGATGGATGAAGCCTTTTCCCAGGGAGCTTTGAGGGACTCAGCATCTTGACTTCTTTGTGCAGGATCATGGTGGCAATGCCCTTGTCCTCCTTCTCATTACATCCATTGGAGCCCTTGTGGCTGAGCTGCTTTCTCCCACCAGGAGGTCATCCATCTGATGGAACAGTTCTTCCTTTGGGCTCCCAGCAAAGACTGACAACAAAAAAAGCCATAAAGCAGCTGATGGGCAAAGAATGAGGAGCCGTGATTTTTCCTGCATGGCCACAGGGCTCTGTTGTCTTTGGGCTGACACCAAAGGACTCATTGGCTGTCATAAAATCACAAACATTGAAGAAGACCACTAAGATAATTCATCCAACCTAGATCCTGGTAGGCTTTGAAGTGCAGAGACGATCAGAAGCAAAATCTTCCATAGGTGTGTGTGGGGTAAACTGGTGAACAAAACCATGAGCGATCTCTTGTGTCTTGTCTTCCATCACAGCCAAGAGAAATGCATTATTGGTCTTGACACGGAGGGGCAGCAGACGGATAATTGGGTGACATTTGCCGCTCTGCATCACGCGGGGTCAGATGAGATGGTCTTTTGTGACCTTTAAATCCATGAACTAACAAAATTTGGCCTTCTTGAGGTGATTCTGTTGGAAAGGATGGGAAAGCTGAGACTCCAGAGACTGCTGGGGCTGGAAATGCAGTGCTGGGTGCTGGGCACAGATCTGCAGCATCACAGGGCTCCCTGCAGAGCCAAACTTCCTTTTCCAGTTATTAATGGTGTTTCCTATGGCCCAGATTCTCAGTGTTTCCCAGCACAAACCATCTAGCAATTTGCTTATGCTATTATCCAGTGTCTGCAGCCAATTGTTTGGAAGACAGCTGGAGAGCCTGGAATTAATGAGAAGTGACAGCAAAATCCTGGAAAGGGTCAGAAAATCCCTGGAAAATACATGGGAATTCCATAGCAAGGTCCTTAACCAGGAGCTCTGCCTGCAGGCATTTCTGGTTTTCTCTTGGCTAAAACCCAGTGGTGACTGCCTCAGAGCTTCCAGGCATTCTGAGCGTGCTGAACACTTCCCAGCAGAGCCATCACATCTGACTGAATCCTACAACTCTCTCCTTCTGCCTTTCCCAGGGACAGCTTTTGGCAGCCCCAGGGCTGGCGGTAGGGGAAAATCATCCCAGTGCAGAGCAGGAGCCCTAAAATATTGAGACCTTATGGGTTTTCCCATTCCTTGCTGAGCCAGGCAAAAAGAGACCCCAGAAATAACCATGCAATTACCAAAGTCGTTATCCCAGGTGCTGTGCAAACCTACATAATGTCAACAGGTGTGGAAGGAGAGCAGACAGCTGGAGGAGGAGGAGAGTGATGGGACCCCCAGGTGCTGCAGGGTCTGAGCTCCATGCAGAGAAGCGGGGAAAATTCCTGTTTTCCTCCTCTCTCCCTCCTCTCTTAATGGCTTAGGGGCTGGGTGCGTTAAGTGGTTTAATTATTTTCATAGCACATAATTTAAAGGGGATATTTGGCTCCCGGGAAGGTGGGGGGCTGCAGGGGTGGGGGTCTGGCTCTGCCTCCCCAGAGCTGCATGCAGCCTCTCTGCTCTGCATTAAAATGCAAATGTGTGCCTGCCTGCTGGGAGCAGATAGCGGAACACCAAAAAGCAAGAGAATAAACAGAGGGCAGAGCGGGAGGGGAGCTGGGAGAGAGGCGTCTGTTTAATTATTTTCCCCTATTTTCTTTTCTTCTTCAATGAGATTTGGCCATCGGAGGGCCGTTCAGTTGTTGTATTTACGGGTGCTGAAGCAGTAAGCAGGAAAAATACTGCTTTGGCACTGGCTGAGCGCTGGGTGCCATGCAACCCTATCATCACACCCATGCCAAAACACAGTTTTCTTGGGTTTTGACCTCAGGATTTCAACTGGTGCCTCCCTGGCACGTTTCCTGCAAGGGTATTAAGGCCCAAACACCTTTGTGGTGAGCTGCTCCCCTTATGTTCCCATTGCCCAAAGAGAACTCTGAAGGACCGGTGTGTTCACACGGCTGTGCACATTATGTATATGCATTCCTGCACCACTGCACCTAAGTAAAGCCCTTGGCATCAATCCACTAAGGGAATGCACACATAATTATATACGTGTGTGTATATATATATAGACACACATTGTATATGCATGTATATATACATATGTATTTATAATGTATAAATACATACATATTTATGTCTCAATAAATAGTTTTACCTATCTAGATTTTGCTCTCTTCATTGAAAAGAAGACCTGAGCAGGGCTGTCAGCATCCCCACCAGGGCAGGAGAACACTCCATTGGGAGGAGGAGGTGGGGCAGAGCTCTTCTGTTCTCCCCTGCCCACCTCCACCCTACAATGCAGGAATGGGGCGCATGTTATTAAACAGTTTTCTCCCTTCTCCCTTTTTCCTTTTTTTTTTTTTTTTTTAATTTTAAACAAATATTCATATATGTTAATTTGACGAGGAGGCTTGGCGGCTCCAGGCAGGAATTTGGCTGTATTAATTTTACTGCTTGGAATCACTATCATGCAGCCAGACCTGGGTCCCTCCGATAACAGGGCACAGTGAAACAGGAACGCATCACCCACCTGGTCTTTGAGCACATCTTAATTTCCTCATATATATCTCTCTATAGAAGGATATGTATATTTAAAACCAGCACAGAGCTATCAGGAAAGCTTTAAGGCCGCTCAGGGGAGAAATTTGCACAGTCCCAGAATGATAAACTCTTTAAAGAGCTTTTCAAGACACTGCACAGCGCTTTGGGGAAACTGAGGCACAGGGCCTGGCTGTGCCATGATGGGGCTGTTGAGGTGGGGAGGATTTTTGAGGGGTGGTCCCAAATCCACAGCTTTGACCCCAAAGCACTTGCTATTCCGATGGGTGTCAAAGCCAAGCAATGCCCCCAGGATGGCGCGTTTTGGTTTTGGCTTTTCATTTCCTTTGTGGTTGTGTTGTTGGGTTTTTTGTTTGTTTGTTTTTTGTTTGTTTTTTTGAGTTTTTCTAGTCTTTTATTTAAGAAAAAAAAAAAAAATAGACACAGTGGTGGGTAACTTCCGATCCAGAAATAATCCGCTGCCAGCTGCCGCCTCCCCCTCTGCTGGGCAATGCTGGGCGCCCACATGTTGGACCCCAACTGCTGGTACCCAGGTGGTCCCCCTGGAGTCAGCCTGTCTGAGGATGCTCTGCAATGGAAGGGGGACTTTGGGGCTGGGAGCGGGGTGGCGAGGGAGGTTATGGCAGTCAGAAGGCACCACGGAGGCTGAACCTGGCTGTGGGAGTCCCCAGTGGGCTGGGACTGGGGGAAATGGGCTGGGACTGGGCATGGGAATCCCCACCAGGCAGGGAGCTGGGTGGGCAATGCGAAGACCCAACAGCATCTCCCAGCCTGGTGCTGGGAGGGCAGGAAACAGCAGCCCTGGGGGCAGAGGCAGTCCCCAAGGGATGCTGTGATGGCAAACATTAATGTCACCACCCCACATGAAGCAGGTGGTGAGCTTGAGGTGGGGGTGCAGGTTTTGCCCCCACTTTTTCCCCACACAACCCAATTGCCATAGGATGCCACACCAGCGCTCACCTCCAAAACTGTGCAACCAGGTGCAGCAATTGTGCAACCCCCATGTACAGTGGATGGCTTTTGGGAACCCCCACCCACCACCTCCCTGCAGTGGGCTGGTGGGATGTCTCCCCTTTTCCAATCTGTGCACTGCAGGACTCACAGCACCATCTCATCCCATTCACCATTGTACGCTCACAAGATCCATCCCTATCCATCCCCAGCCCCCAGCTTGCATCCCTCCTGGACCCCGCTCACTGCAGGTTTGGTGCCCCCACCCTGGGGACAAGCAGACGGCAAAGGGCAAGAAAAGAAAAACAGCCCCCAAAGGTGCCTCCGCATGGGGTGAGGAGGATGTGAGATGTGCAAAAGGGAACCTGCGAGAGAGCCCAACGTGGGTCTCAGGCCCCAGGAAGCAGCCAGTGTGGCGTGGCGTGGCGTGGCGTGGCACGGCGTGGCAGCCCCCTCCCTCCCACCCCATCCCCTCTGCCCCTGCGTTAAGCGATCTCTTTGATTCTGCGGATGTAGTTGTGAAGCTCTTCGGGGTCTTGCAGCCCCATGTCCTGGCAGACCCACTCCAAGTCCTCCTCATCGGCGATGGGGATGGAGTTGTAAGCCAGCTCATCAGTGGGCAGTGTGGCGAAGGTGGTGAACTTCACCCGCTTCCGTTTGGAAGTGGGCGAGTTGAGGGGGTCCTCACTCTGATCCCGTGTGGAACCCCCCGAGGAACCGTCCCCACGACCATGGACCTGGCTTTGCACACTGGTCTGTGAGCTCCCACTGCTATGGTGGTCCGCATGGCAGCAGGTCTGCACATTTTCCAGGGGGTTCCCGGGGCTCTCAGGCTGTGGGGAGAGGTCATTGTGAGCCCGCAAGGGCTGCCCATTGCCCAGGAAGACCCAGTGGTGGGAGTGGTCCATGTTGGTCTGACCTTCAGGTGGGATGCGTTTGTGCCGGTATTTCAACACAAAGACAATGCAGTTGATGAGGAAGACCAAGATGGCCAGACAGAAGACACCCAGAAGGGCGTACATGCCTATCTCCAGGTCCGTCAGCCCTCGGGTCACTTGGACAAAGCCAGTGGGGATGGTGGGGAAGTCCTCTGTGGGGTGAGACGCACTGGGCATCCTACTGTCCTCGCTTGGCTCCGCTTTTCTCTCCACCTCTGCCCGCAGAGTGGTGCTCGACCCCGTCTCCAGCCCTGGTCTGCTGGGAACGTGGTCATAGTCATAGGTCGGGTCCTCCTCGGAGCCAAAATGGACCCGCACACTGGCCAGGGCTGTGAAGAGCACGCTCTTACGCTTGGTTTTCTGGCAGCTCTCGCAGATGACCAGCTCAGCCCGCAGCAATTCCCCCACACCTTCGCTCTCCGCCACCACCAAGGGGAAGGCTCGGTCTTGAGTCACCGTCACCACCTTCTCATCCAGGCTGCTCACCACCAGGTGGTAGTCCTTGGGGTCGTAGAGGGAAAGAGGGGCTGTGGTGCCGTCGCTGTAGGAAATCCACAGGCTCAGGAGCGCTTCCTGCAGGACCAACACAGGCACCGGTTGCCCAGCACAATGCCAGTCCCACCTGCACCTCCATCTCCCATCCATCCCTCCTCCTTCACATCCTTCCCCCATGCAATTCATCTTCTACCCATCTGCCTATTGATTTGTTTTATTCCTCCCAACCACCATCTAGCTTTTCTCTTTTGCCTGTTCTTCCCTCAGTTTTCGCTACAGTTGCCCAAACACAGGATCTGTTGAGGGTTTGGAACAAGGTGCAGACCACTTTCTGGCCTGGTATCAGATTGTCCTGATGCTCAACCCCTTCCCCATTTCTCCCCAGGGCTTGGCGTGGAGGAGAGGTTCAGGGGATAGAGCTCCAAGGCTCCCATGTAGAGGCCACAGGACAAGTAAGACCTCTACAGATGAGGTTCACCCCAAATCTCAGCCCCACAGGATAAGCAGGACTTCCACAAACCCCAAATCTCAGCCCCCAAGGCATGAATCAGGGCTACAAGAGCTACAAACTCTATGAATAATTTTCCTCCAGAGCTCTGTCCACATGGACATTGACAGGAAGATTTCTGGGCTACTTTGAAGTGGGAAAAGGACTTTTTAGATGGAGCTCCATCCCACCTCGAGTCCCCCAAAGCCCAGACCTCACCTGCTTGAGAAAGCTGAGGGTCTGCTGGGCAGCTGTGCGAGCAATGATGGTGTGGCTATTTCCAGGGCTGGGGTGGAGGGACAGTGAGAGGCTGGAGACCACCTGGGCCTTCAGGTCCGTGATGCTGACCTTCTCCTCCGCCACCGTCACCAGTGTCTCACCCAACACCGCCTCCATGAGCGGGGACACGACCTGCAGGGGATGAGGGGACCGTCACCACCCACCAACCTCAAGCCATGTTGATGGAAAGGGGAAAGTTAACCAGGGGTACCTTAAAGAGCGTGGTGCCCGGCTCTCTGCCAGCCAGTGTGAAGCTGTCCACCAGGTGAGCCACCCGCGGGTCATCCACGCGCATGAAGTCACTGACCAGGTCTGTAACCTCCACCAGCCAGTCGGGTCCCAGCATGGTGACCACCTGCCCCGTGCCCTCTGCCGCCGTGGTGTGGAACTGGGTGAAGACCTGCAGTGTGGCATGCTGGTACTGCAGGGCACAGCCCCGGCTCTGCTTCCGCTCCTCTTCATCCTCCTCGTGCTCGCTGTCCCGCACTGACCTGTGGGACAGGGACAGGAGACAGGTGGCAGGGCATGGAGAAGTGCAGGGTGTTCCAAAGCAGGGGAAAAGCATGGTGGAGCCTGGCCAAAAATTCTGTTGTTTATGAGGTCTCTGAGGGCTTTAGCAGCACATGAAAATGGGGTAGCCAAAATCTCCACCCTCTAATCAGCTGAAAGGGCAAGGTCCCTTCCAACCCCTACAATTCTGTGATTCTGTGATATCTCAAGTTGGGAGGGATACCTGGAGCTTGGCAGCTCCTGGCCTTATCCACAGGAATTTTGACTGTTGACATGGATGAATGTTCCTCACTGGTCCCAGTGTTCAACAGTTCTCATTTTGAAATTTTCGTCTTTCCATCTAAAAATGCAACCTGCATCCATGAGCCACGTTTTCACTTGCAGAAAAGTCTGGTTCCATTATTTCTGAAACCCCCTTCACTAAGAAGCTGAGCATGGCCACTGGACTTCTGCCACCTTCACCTTGTCTTCTCCAGCACATCTCATGCCCCGTATCTTGGGGTGCTGTTGTGGACTTCTCCCAGCCTATCACTGCCTCCCTTGTGCACCCCGAACACTGTACCCCCAGCACCCACCTCCTGTCTGGCAGGATGGGCACCCTCCAGCCCTTCACTTGGCTCAGCCGTGAGTCTGAGAGCTCGATGTGCAGCGGCAGTTTGGGCACCCACACCGTCATCTCCAGCGGGGCAGAGAGGTGCTCGTAGGTGAAGGTGACCCGGGCACTCATGGAGCCCCGCGATTCCTTCCCACTGACAAAGACGTAGTCACAGCTGCTGGAGACCTGAGGAGAGGGGAAAACGGGGAGGGCATAATCTGGTATCTGTCCCCAGATCTCCCCCACGTACAGCTACAGAGAGCAGGCAGCAAGCAGTGGCCAGCCTCTGTAGGTACCCACCAGTGCCTGCCATGAAAGGGAATGCAGCCCCATGCCCACCTCCATCCCCATCCACATACTTCCTGCTGACTCCAGAAAAAGCTTCCCAGAGTCCATCTGAATCCTCACATTCACCTCTCTCTCTCTCTCTTCCTCTTTTAATTCCCATTTATGCAAATGCCATTAGTTAAATTTGCTATAAAACAAATACTTCCTGTGGGGGCCACTTATTACCAACCAATCCAAGGCAATTAAGGAGCTAAGAGGATGCCACCACAGCACTGCTTGGCTCAGTGCAGCAGAGCCAACCTTCTCCTTCCCAGCCAGCAGGAAGGAGGCACTGGGCTGGGGACTCCCACTCCACGTCTGCAGCTTTCCCTGAGCCCAGCTCATGGGGTTTGCTCCTTGTCCTTGTACCAGAGCTGTCTGAAAAGACAATCTCAGCTCTGGCAGGGTAGCATTTGAATAAAGATGAGCTCTTGCGTAAATCCTCCATCTCTGGATATTGAGCCATTTATCACAATAAATATGATGGGATGCTGCTTGCATTACCTTACCTAATAAATCCCCCCAGCATCTCGTTCTGGGGGCCACTTGTTTTTCTGTTGGTTGGAACTGTGGAGGGAGGGGGGGGTACGACAACAAAAAATAGCAGCACATCAGCCCTGTCCTGATGATGGAGTGACTGCAGATTAGCTTTTAAATGAAGTGTACACTTGTTGGGAGATACTTCCCGGATTTGCAGCAAGGCACTGGGAAGCGAGGCGGAGGTCTGCCTGGGCTGAGAGCCAAGGCACTGACAGCTCTGCTCCTGTGCAGAGCTCCTCCCTTGGCACGGCCTCAAGCATGGGATCAAGGGAAGACATCATCTCTCCATGCATATCCCTCAGCATATGCATGGTGCCTGAGGTCACCACGTGTCCCTGGGTGGGCAGAGCACGAGGAGATGGCCCATGTCATAGAATCATTAAGGTTGGAAAGACAACAAAGCTCATTGACACATGCCTGTGTGCCCACAGAGGAGATGAGGGTGGCATTTCACACCCACACTCTGTCACCAGCCTTCATGGGTGGCTGCAGCACCTTCACTGCCATGTCATAGAATCACAGAATGACTTCAGTTGGAAGACCTAAAGATCATCAATCTCCAGCCACCACGTCCTCCACATCCAAGATGCACTCCCTCCATGCAACCATCACCGCTACACCACACACAGCATGGAGAGAAGCAGCCTTTCCCCGCTCCTCGTCCCTCCTTATTGCTAAATTATTTACAGTAACAGACAGTGGATCTCACCATGTAAGCTGATTTATGTAACAGCTTTATAGCCCTGACACCGTAATCATAGTGCCCAATCTCAGCAGGAAACTGAGAGCTCCCTCGGAAACACATCACCAGCACAAACACAAAATAACTCAGCAAGGAATTGCGTGGGGCTGCGGATGGCGAGCGGGAGGAGAGCACATGGGGCTGGAGGGCTGCTTTATGTATTATTCATCCCCGCTTGTGTGCATGTGTCTGCTCCCCCCAGGTCTGGGGACAGCGTGTAAATAGATTTATGAGTCGAAAGGCAGCACATTAAACAGTTTAAGTGTCTTGGAGTCCATCCTGAAGTGTATTATTGCTCCAGTGTTTTATCACGCTGCGGAGGACCAGCCTTCATAAATTAGAGCTGGTGCTGTAAATCGCACGGATCGGGGTTTTGTTGGAGAACTTGGGTAAACAGGTTGTGACACCAGATCCCACGGGGCTGACGGCTCCCAGGGACCCATGGAGAGAGCACATCCCAACACCGACGGGGCTGGGAGAAGGCGCGATGTCTAGGGGTGGGTGGGCGGATGGATGGATGGGTATGGTGATGGAACAGTGCAGGCGGGCGGCTGGATGGATACATAGAATGATAGAAGAATATGTATGCTTGAATGGGTATGGTGATGAAAAAATAGACACCCGTGGCTGGGTTTGAGGGCTGATACTGCCGAGTCAGCTGAGGGATGCGTGGGCCATCATCGCCATGGGAGCCTGCACGTGTTTTGTGCTCACTGGAGCAGCCACAACCCCACGCAGCCCCAATCTCCTGTGTCCCATTGTCCCCAGTGCTTTGCTTGACCCTCCCAGCTCAGCCCAGCATTAAATCCCACACAGGAGATGAATGTCACCCAGAGGCGCAGGTGAAGCCACTGATGAAAACGTGTGGTTCACATTTCAAGGCGACAGTATTTTACCTTATCAGTGCTAAGTAGTGCGATAACCCATAGTTATTGCTGCTGCCTGGTGCCAGCGTGCACAGCACCACAGCATCTAATGGCCTTCAGTGGGGACAGTGACAAAGTGCATCGTCCTTCCCTCTGCAGACAGGCAGATTGAAACACCAGAGAGGCTCAGCAGGGATGTGCTCCTGGGGCGGGAGATGGGAGTTATCTCTCCCGTACCCACCTTGATGATGTCTTCATTGTTGGATTTGCACTCCACCATGGCTGAGACGTCCACGATAACACCACTCAACTCAATTGCAATGACCTTCACAGGAATGGCCACTGTTCGGCCCGTCAGGATGGCTGTGTTGATGATTTCCGTGTCCTGGGGAGAAAAGGTGCAAAGGAGACAGTCATTGGAGGGCAGCCTGCTCTCCTGCTCCAGCCCTGGGGCCGAATTCTGCCTGGTCCCTCTCCTGCTTCTCCTGCTTGAGCCCTGTACAGCTACAATGGGATGCATGGATATATGGATTCTGCAGAAGGGGATATGTGGCAGATGGGCTATTGAGAGACATGGTAGACCACATCCACACCCATCTCTCCCTGCAAAATCCTCGAGGGACAATAAACCATCCCCACTATCAAACAAAAAAGGCAGGAGCAAGTGCAAGGCCTCTTACCATGGCCAGGGGCACAATGGCCCGGATGTCCCTCTGGATGACCGTCAGCTCTGTCACCACCTTCTCCAGGTCAGGAGGGGGGTTACGGCCCCGGTAGTCGATGTGCCACATGATGCGGCGTGTCACCGACTGGCTGGTGAAGTTCTCCATCTCGAAATCCAGCTGCATGATCTCAGAGGAGGATTCTCCATCCCTGGCAGGGGACCAGAGGAGGATGCAGTGAGTTGGGTGCTACGGATGGTCCCTGATGCAGAGCATCTCCAGTGGATCCCTCCTCAGGGGTGCCCCTCCATGACGAAGGGACCAGAGTGGTCACCACCATGATGCTCAGCCCAAACACAGCTGCTCCTATGAAAGCCCACACAAAGGGAAGGCATTTTCCCTGTAGATCCTGCAAAAGCCTCCTTGGAGCAGGAGAATGGAGAGCGGTGAGGAGTGCTGAAATAGGCCTGCTCTCATCTCGGCATGCAGCAGCCATTGAGAAGGTCCCATCAATCTGGGGACGCTGGATGCAGTTTCTAACTTATAAATATATAATGAGTGAAAGGGATTCCTTGTAGCAGCACAACAAAGACCAATGTCTTCTGCATCCTCCAGAGCATCTCTGGCAGAGCAAAGCTGCCTGGATTTGGGGAATGACTTAAGATGCAGATGCTGGAGTGCAAATTTGCCGGTATTGGCCATTATCAGCCTAAAGCTCTGGGTGTGCCAGGTTCCCTCCAATCCCCACTGCCCCTGAGGCAAAATGCTTGTGCTTACATGGCCCAGAGGGCAAAACGGCTTTGAGTCATTCATCATTTCCATTACGTTAATATTTGATCGAGTTGTTTGTCTAAAAGGTGATTGTAATCACTTTAAATTCATCTCCCGTCTCTAACCTTTCAAGGCTGATTTGAGCCGGCAGCAGAGGCAGAGGGGGGGCTGGGGAAGGAGAAGGGAGATGGAGCCCTCTATGCCTGCAGTGCATGGCTCCTTGGTGGCACAGGGCTATTCCTGCAGTGGGCAGGATGGCTTGTGGCCATGGGGATATGCCAGTGTCAGCCAGGGGCTCTGATGTCTCTGCTACAGCTGTATTTGACATCTTCCAGCACAGCTTGAGAGCATCAGTTTGCTCTAACCCAGCTCCTGGAGGCATTTCCCTCCCTGCTCCCAAAGACACCAGGTGATGGAGATGTCACCACCTGGGAACAATCCAGCATGTCACAGTTCTTCCTGATGGTGACTTTGACCCGGTGCAGTCCAGACCCTGCCCCTGCAGTTCAAGGAGCCCCAGCAGTCCCCCTATGCTCAAGGGCCAGTCCCATATCTCCCCTTCCAGAGCAGCCTCTTGGTTTTAACTCATCTTTGTCCTTCTGATCCTTCTCAACTCTGTCCCCTAGGTTCTCCTTGTCCAACTCAAGCCTTTCATCACCCAAGCTTGGACCATGAGGAATGAGCATCACCCTTGTGCCCAGCAGAACAGAACAGCTCTGTCCAGCCCAGGTGGTGTTTAGGTTCATGCTCCCCATCCAATACTCATCCATGACCCTGGGGACCAGAGAGTCTGTATCTGGGGAGTGCTCCCGTTCCTTCCCAAAGGGATTCTCCATTCAGGACAACCAATAAAGAGCTGCTACCATCCATAATATTACAACTTTTACAAAATTAAAATGCTTCCACCTCAAACTGGAGGATCTTTCATGCCTTTTCAATACCACCCCAAAGCCCTCCATGTGCACCCACCGGAATCTGAAGCAACTGGATAAATACCAGCTGAGAAATGGGGATGCAGCAGCAAAATGTTGGTGATCGAGGAGCACATTGCTTGAGCCCCAGCTTGGTGTTGGCCATAGAATAGATCACACCCAACCACACCACCCTGCACCCCACACCAGGTGTTGAAGACCCGTGGAGATATGGAAGTGACAGACATGATTTAGTGGTGTGTGGGAACTGCTGAATCACGGCCTGAACTTCTGATTGAGCACCTGAGGCAAGCAAGGAGTCAGCCACGGGAGCACAAGTGAAGGCAATTCAGCTGTGCTGCCAGAAGGGGTGGAGCCTGGCTGCACCTCTCCTAGACCCATTTAAGAGCTGACTACCAGTGGGGAAGGATCTCTTCTGGAGATCCCCTCCTCTGGAGTTTTATAGTGAGCCCAGGATACGGGTAAGCATTCTATCTATTCTATTTTGGTATAATAACTGCTTAGCCAAACTCTCTGGTATATTTCATAATTATAACATCTGTACGATCATTGATTGTACAAGTGGGTATGGTGGGGATGGGTTTATAGTTACCTGGGCCTGGTGCCCTCCACCTTGGCCACGTCAACGGTGGCTGTGGAGTGTTTGCCACCTGTCAGCAGCTCCGAGCTCACCAGCCACTGCCCGCTCCTCGACTTGGTGCTGAGCAGGTTGACACCTTTCTTGGCCTTCACCCTGCAGAGAGCCATGATCAGGGCAGGATCCCATATCCCTGTAAACCCCCCAGACATCTTCACCCCTCTGCTATGTGTACAGAGGCACTTTTCACCCCCAATTCCTCTTGAATCTCAGAGACATCGTCCATAGTGAAGATGTCACTGCTCCACCCAACCCAGCCAAAACAACCACTCCTTGCCAACATGGCTCATGGGATCAGGACCCTACCTGAGGGTGAAGTGCTCCACCGTGGAGTTGGACATCAGGTAGAGCAGGATGCTCAGCACCTCACCCGGCTTCAGAGGCCGGTCAGGAAGGCGGATGAAGACATTGCCATCCAACCGATGCTCCTGCATGGGCTGTGCAGGGGGAGGCTGCAGGAGGCTGACACTCCCGATACGCAACAGTGGGTGCTGCGTGGGACCCTCAGTCCTTGCCCCTCCACTCCCTCGACGAGGGGATGATGCCGATGTGTCCCCAAGGCACTGTCCGGCCCCATCGGGGGCGTGAAGAGTGTAGTAGAGCTCGACCTGTTGGCTCTCACCTGGCACCTCCATGCCATCAGGGCCCTTCCTGCGTCCCAGCGGCACAGCGGCGGGTCGGAACCAGGCGTGAGGCAGCTCAGCCTGCACCAGGCAGGTGGCCAGGCTGCCCCGCAGCCGGCACGAACTCTTGATCTCGCGGGCATCGCGGAAGGCATGAAGCCTGACGCAGGGCAACCGATCGGTGACGTCAAAATCATCCCAATCCCGACCGGCCACGTAGAAGAGCACTTGGACCACGGGCTGGTTGGCCACCAACCGGGGTTGGATGATGAAGGCGCGCACCTTCCAGTTGACTGTGAGGCGGTTGGGGACTTCCAGGGTGCTGGAAGGCTGCAGGTGCTCCTTGGGCAGCACCAACCCTGTGCTAAAGGGTCCCAGGGTGACATTGAGCACGGGCAGCTCCTTGGTCTGGAAGACGACGAAGGGCTCGGATCGTTGCAGAGGGGTGCTGCTGTTGGCCGGGGGGCTGGCCCCCACCTCCTTGAGGAAGAAGGCCAGGCGGGTGTTGGATAGGCGGTAGCTCACGGGCAGCATCGCAGCACCAGGAGGCTCAGAGGGCTCAGGGCTGGGGGCTGGCCCCTTGGCTTGGGCTGTGAAGGGGATGGAGAGGGTGGTTACTGTGGGACATCCAACTATGAGCTCCCATAGCAAGTATGAGGTGCTGCAGCCCCAGAGTATCTAGTAAGTGCAGCAAAAGTTGAGATGAGTTTCACTCCTGTTACCCATCCCAGAACCTCAGTGATCTCTGTGCTTCCCAGTGAGATCTCCAGCCCTTGGCGTGGGATGGAGCATCCAGGATGTCAAGGGCCTGCCTAAATTTGGGTCAGGATGTGCAGGAATAGGGCATAAAAGGCTGAATCCTCTTTCCAACCACCCTTTGCCAACATGCTGATGGAGCCTGTGGGACACATCCTGCCCCAAGACACAGCTGGCGAGATTCACTAAGCCCAGCTCCTTGAGCAGCATTTGCATCTCCCATTCAGTACCCACCAGCCCTTGTGCCGCAGCCCCTCACTGCAGACATCTCAAGGAAGACATCTCAAGGTCTTCTCATCTGCATCTGCCAGCAATTCCCAGGATGCTTCCCCTCCCTGCAGCTCCACGTCTCACAGCAAGCAGCCCTGGCACTGATTGCAGCCATTCCCCAGCGACTCCAGTCTCCACCAGTGGCACCCAAATTACGGGTGGTGAAAAGCTGCTGATGTGACAGCTCAGCACTCAGAACAGCAGCTGGATGGGGACTTCCAATGGGGGATTGCTCTGGGGGGCTGCCAAATCTATTGCTCCTATTTTCTACCTAGGGACACGGGAGGGAGCATGGATACCCAGGCAGGGTTCTACCAGCTGGAGCATCAATGTGGTTGCACCCCCACAGCTGCAGGGTTGGTGCTGCTTGAAGCTCTGCCTCGCTTTCCCCTGGTGATGCAGAAGAGGGGATGTTGGTCCCAAAATGCTGGGGCAATTGGCATGCTGGTTCCTGCAGCACATGGCTCAGTGAGGCGAGACTGCGTAACCCAGCCTGGATCTAACTGCTGCAGGGGTTAAGGGATGAGGAAGGCTCTTAACAGGATTAGCACTTGATAGGGGCACCAATGGCATGTGCAGCTCTGTCACTCAGGATGCAGCTTGTCCCACCCTCAGGACCAGGCACGATGCTGGGGACACAGCGGTGGCACCGCTGTTGATGCCACCACGTCGGCTGCAGCACAGCCCTGCCCTGTGCAGCCACAGCTGCTCCTGCTATTCCCCCTTTTTTTTTTTTTTTTGTTCCAAGCCATGAGACTGTTTGCTGAAAAGCAGAGTTGTGAAAAGATCCCCCAGTCAGAGCTGCATTGGGATAACCACACAAATGCCTGCAAGAATGAATGAGGCATGGGGAGCCAGGCAAAACGCTGAAGCTTGACGCTGAATCACTGAAACTGTAACTGTTATCCCTTAAAAATCACCAGTGTTTGGAGAATACTTAAATCATTCCACAAAGGAAATCCACCCAAAGGCCTGCTCCCCTCAGGGGACCCCCACCCCCTCAGAACCAGGGGACATGGGTGACAATGCTGATGGGACAGCAGTGTGGCACCAAGCCCTGCATCGTGCACAGATCCCAGTGCCATGAGGGATGAGCCAGGCTGCAGATTAACGCTGTGGTCATGATTAGTGCAGCACAGGAGGACTGCTGGCACCCTGGGATTCTATTTCCTTCCACAGACAAAATGCATTTAAACGATGCTATAATCTGTCGCTAGGAGGGGGGACGTGGTGGGTGTCTCCACTCCTTGGCCATAAACTAATCCTACAGGGCAGGGTCTGGCCAGCCACGTCCAGCCCAGGGCTAATAGCAGCCCAGAGCTTTTGTTCCTACAGCCTCTGCACCGAAGGGGGATAGAGCATTAGAGCATGGGGTGAGGAAGGACATGGGGTCAAGACAAACAGACGTGGGTGGAGAGGGATAATGGAACCAGGGGGAAGAATGGAGAATGGATGGAAAGGATGGAAAAAGGGTGGAAGGAAGGGAGGAAGGACAGGTGGAAGGAAGAGCAGATGGAGGGAAAGGTGGATAGAAGGGAGGGAGGGAGGAAGGAAAGCCCAGCAGCTCAGGGGACCTCAGCCCAGGCAGACTGCCCCAACCCAGCAGCCCCCAGGAGGAAGCGTGGTTCCTCTGCCATCACCCCTGGCTCAGTTTAGGGAGACAGATGGGTTAAGCCCTGGCCACTGACTCTGCTCCTCACCGGCCCGCTGCAGTTAACAGGATTTGCAGTGCCTGACCTGCATTCCTGATTTTATTAGGCTGGCACGGGGAGGACCATATGGTTCTTCCACCCTCGCAGCTCAGCACCACAAGCAAAAAGCAGGCTCTGACCAGCCCAGGGGCTGCCTGGGCCCCATGGACTGAGGACCCCCCCCAACCCCATAGCAGGACAGGACACCCACATCCTTCCCAGCTCCCTCTGTGGCAAACCAGGGTGGACTATGAGCCACAGCAGGGGGAGAGGGCAGAGAGGGAGGCAGAAACACACAACTGGCAATGACCCCCCCTCAAGCAGCCACATCTGCCTGGCCAGATGTGCCCCACGCCGCTGCAGCCATGCAGCCAGATGGGCCACCGGGCTGGCAGTGGGGGCACATGGGGACAGCAGTGCAGGACATGATGTGGCAGCGCCCACGACCATGCACTGAAGTCAACAAGAGCCCCCCAGGCCAGGGGAGATCATTGCTTCTGGGGGGTCTCCAGTGCTGAAAGAATCCCCCAACCCCATAGAACAACCCAACTACATCATCGCTGCTTGTGGCTGCTGGGGTCAGACTGATGGACACATGGGAAGGAAGGCTGATGGTCAGACTGAATGTGGTTGTGGCTCCTCAGCTCCTCCATCCCTGCTCCCAGCAACTGTCCCAGGGCTGAAGAGCCTTCTCCTCCTCCTCCTCCTCCTCCTCCTCCTCCTCCACTTCCCCTTTATCCAGCACTGATATCCTGCACTGAGCTTCAGCTTAGCTCCAGCCCCAGCTGTTTGCCATAGGGATCGCTTTAGCCACACTCCAGGGGGGAACTTGATCCCAGCTTATCCTGTGGAATATGACAGGGGGCTCCCGGCACATATATCCCCACTTAACAGGGGAAAAGCAGATAAAAAACCACTGGAAAATAAAATAGGGCTGTTGCTGGGGGCTGTGGCCCAGTCTGTTCCAACACAGCCCAACTCCACAATGCAATGATGGGTTGACACTGCAATCAAAGCTCCTAGCAGATGGCTTTGTGCTGGTTTGAAGCTCTGCTGGCACTTTTTGGAGTTCCTGGTCACCCAGGGGGACAAAAAGACTGATGGGGTTTAATTAGTGGTCAAAGACCCCAAAGATGGGCCCTGAGACCCTATGCAGCCCAGCCCTTATGGTGCAGCTGTCACTTCCAGCTCACTGCTAAGGTTCCAAGAGGACAGTCCCACCTTAAAGCAGCATCCAGTCCAAGCTTTGGAGCCCTCAAACCCAAAGTCTGTGGGGGTGTCAGCACCCACAGTCCACTCTTTGCCTCCACGGCCATTAGGGCCAACCACAAAGGATGCACATGAGCAACAAACACCAGGGATGTCCCAAATCTGGATGCTCCAATCAGAGGCAGACCCAGATGAGTCGCACACCCATAAAATCATTAAGGTTGGGAAGATATCTCATCCACCTCATCCATCCTGGGACCAGACATCCCCTTTCCATCCTTACATCAGGGCACTGACCCCATCACACTATGCTTTTATCCAAACAGAGTGTGCACCTCCAAGCAGCATAAAAAAAACCTCAAACCAATAAAAATGGCAAATGGAGGCTTCTACCTCCATCCAAACCTCAACAATTCAGCCCTGGCAGCACTACAATTGGCCACAGCCTCAAGCACCCCATTTCCATCCCTGTGAAGTTTGGGTTTTGAGGGGTCACAGGGCAACAGGACCCCTGCTTTGCACCATAGCACAGCATAGATTGGGAAAACCCTCCCAGCAATGAGACGGGAGCTGAAATGGGAAGCCCAGCTCTCATGAGGGACTCAGAAAATGCTTCCCATCAGCCAGAGCCTTGGAAATTGTTTTCGGCGACATGAAAGACAACAAGATCCCCGGCGCGGTGCGAGCTTCCATCTCCAGCGTTAGCTAATTGGAAGTCAATTAAGTGAATAATTGTTACAAATGTACAGGCACCTCCCCTGGCGCACAGCAGTGAGATGGCCAATGGGAGGCTGCAGGGACAGGGGACACAAATCCCTTGGCCATCCTGGTCCCCAATTCTGCCCCATAGCGGCGATGGTGTTGAGAAGCCCCATGGTAAGAAGGAGCACAGCACTCATCCCAGAAGGGTGATCTCGTACAGCCCAGGGGAGGGATTGGGCTGGTAATGAACGGGAAAACTGACTTGAGTCTTCCTATGGGTGGCAGTGGTGGATTCTTCAGCGTCTAATATAGGATTATGCGGGTGCTGGTTGACTCTCCCTTTTTTTAGGGTTCCAGAGGAGAAGGACAGAGATGCTGTTGCCTGGGGGCATCCTTGGAAATCCTCCTCCCACCCCCATCCCCCAATAAAAACACTGTGGCTGACAGTACAGCAGCCCTTCCAGCTTCAGCCCAGCACAGTGGCAAGAAGCAACACAAGGCAATGCCAGCAGGACGGACACCGGGTGCCCGAGGCTGCAGTGCTGAGCCCTACATTTCCCCCAGGAAACTAATCAAAGGGAAGGGGCAAGAAACCCAAAGGAATAAATAAATATGGCCTAAATGGGATGTGGCGCGCACAGGCACAGCCTGCTATAAATCCTGGGAGCAGGCAAGGCTTTTACGCAGCAGCTACTTTAGAGCAATTTCCACAAATCACACCAGGGGACAGGTCGGGGGCCGGGAAGGAGAGGCCCTTTGCGGAGGAGGAAGAAAAATGAAGAAATGAATTAAAAGGCGGTGGGGAAAAAAAAATATAAAAAATTAAAAGGATGAGGGAGTGCCTGAACCCACGGGAACGCCCAGGGGCTGCAGAATGCAGAATGCCCAGGGGGATGGGGTACAAACTGCAAGGGGGATGAAGTCCAGCATGAAAAAGAAACCTGGAGAGCAGAGAGACTATCCCAAATGCTGAACTTTTGTCTGTCCTGCAAGGGAGAGAGCAGAACCTGCTGCAGTAACTTGCAGGACTGGGATGCGAAAGCACCTGAGATCTCAGGCAGAGAGATTAAAAAATCAAGCACAGCAAATATTGCACAGCAGCAAAGGGAAAACGCTGCCCAGCGGGAGATGGTGGCTTCATCAGGGTGGAAAAGCAAACTGCTGTGATTGCAGCATCCTCCTGGGACGGAGCACAGCGGGATGTGGGTTATCGACCCGGGCAGCAACAAGTGGGGCAGCGGCCTGGGAAAGCAGGGCACAGCAAGAGCATCTATACCGGGGTCTTTTGGGGGAGAGGCAACGGCCAACAAATCCCCACACTTGGGTTTGTGCCTCTCCTAGCAG